AAGCACCCTCGGTGCCGGGGCCTCGAGCGGGAAACCTCGGGTCTTCAAGCAGCCGCAGCGCCTGTGCCTCATGAGCAAGGAGGAGGCGGACGCTTAGCCCTGAGGAAGGAATTCCCCGGGTAAGGCTGGCATGCAGGGCAGACAGGGTGGCCGCCAGAGGCTGTGGGGGCGGCCGGTCCACCAGCTGCGCCCCCCGATGCAGGCGAGACACTGAGGCCCAAGCCCTTGGCCCACGCAGGGTCGCGGGTTTGCCCGGAGACGGCGAGGCGTCCTAGGACAGCCCGGGAAGGCGGTGCTGACAGCGACGGCCCCCGCACCCACCCCACCCCCGGCAGGGCCTCCTGGCCTGGGGCTCCTGGAGATGTGTGTGCAGAGCAGGGGCTGTGGGGGATGGACTGGGGCCTGCGGCTGACCCCCCTGCCCCCCATTCTTATAAGTCAGGGCCCCCTTTGAGGCAGAGGCACCTGATTGACTTAAAGGCCGGGAGCCCCAACACCATCTTAGGATCCATGTGCCCACCAAGCTCTCCAGCTCCCCACTTGGCATTCCTTTTTGGGGGAGCGGGGTGGGGGCTTGGCTCCCTCTACTGCCCCCTGGTGTCCGGCAGGGGCACTGTGCCGAGCCCTCAGGGTTCAAGGCATGGGAGGCCTCTGAGTGTCCCTGGGGGGACGGTGCCTGTGGGTCCCCATTCCCCCACCTCGATGACAGTCCTTGGCTCCCCATGGGGGGCCCTCAGACGTGGAGCCACACGCCCGTCAAGCTGGACGGCCGCGGGGTTCCCATGAATTCTGCTCACATCCTTGTCACCGTCCCCAGTAACACACCCTTGTTGGCGTTGGACGTCCCAAGTCACTCCCCCAGCTGTCGCTGTCCAGCCCGTCGCTGGGTCTCTGGACAGACTGGGGTCCCGTCAGACGTGGTCACGGGCTGGAGAGAGGACATCCTCCCGGGTCAGGCCCCTGTAGGTGCCGCCGCAGAGGCACCCCCGGTGTGTGCTGGGTGTCACGCCGGGAATGGCGGCTTGTTCGTTCTCCAGTCGGCGCTGCCGTGAACGGTTGTCTGTGTGGCTTTATACGCGGCTCGCGCCTGTGACTTGGTGGCCCCTGGCCACGTGCCCGTTGGCCCCGCTAACCTGTCGGCACTTTCAGCTCCTCCATAGCAACAGCCCAGCCCTGGAGCCAGGGCGGTCAGCGTCTCCCCAACACACACACGCACACGCACCCCGCTCCCCACTTCTTGTTTCTGGCCCTACGAGCTCTGCTGGGGTGGGGGTGCCAGACATGGATTCTTGGTGGTGCAGGGAATTCCTTCACTTGCCCACAGTGTCCCCTGGGCCTTACCCGGGGCCTGTCCGGGGGTCCCTCGGAGCAGGCAGAGCCCGCGCCCCCCCGGGGCCACCCCTAGTGGGGAAGCTGTCCATCAGGCCACGGAGAGCCACAGGAACCCCGCGGGGAGGAGCAGCAGGACCGCGGAGGGAAGGCCCGGCAGCTCCTGGGTAGACTGGGCCGCTGGCTTCCCCGCCACTC